TTGGAAAGCATGGTTGTTTTAACAAAAATAATCAGAGGATGGAAGGTAGGTTTCCATTCATTAGAACATCTTAGAGTGGGGGGGGGGGGGAGGGGGGCACTATTTAGGCGGGAGGGCCAGTTAAGTTTTGGTGACCTGTTGAAGGCTGCAAACATAAAATGAATGGTGTTTTTAACAATAGCTGTACTTTAAAAATGGTTATGGCATTTATAGTGTAAAGGATCCTTCATGTCATTTCCACACTTAATCAAAATAACAATGCTTATTAACATGCATAACAACACTTATTAATATGATAATGAACATAATACAGGTTTACCCAAAACTTATTTGCAGGCCAGATAGAATAATTCAGCAGCCTATGGACTGTGTTTTGCCTACCCCTATCTTGGAGTAAGAGTGTGCCTGTTTTACAAGTCTCCATTTTAGTAATAAAAACATGAACTTCTGAATCCTGGTTGTTTTGTGTTTTGTATGTAAATATTACTCCACGTGTTTTTCAGTCTATGAACTGTTTTTAAATAGTTCAGGCTATGAACTGTTTTTAAAATGCCCCAAAGGTTAAAGTCATAGATGGAACATACTGAAAAGACTGAGAAAATACAGGAGGAATCCGTCCTCCCCCCCCCGCCGCCTTGCCTCCTTTTATCTAATTTATAGTAATCTTATAGTAATCTTGTAATAATAATAATAATACATTGTTTTACAATAGAAATGTGATTTTTCTAGTTCGTGGTATCCTTTTAAGTTTTATGACGTAAGAATTATCCAGTTTCAAGTATACATATTCATACATTCATATTCATATATAAAATGAGTCTAAAAATATTAATGTTTTGTTTTCACTTGCTTTTTCTGGCTTTTGAATCTTTAGGCTGCACTTTTACAATACTTTCTTCACAATAATGAGGTCTAGAAACTTTCTGTAAAAAAAAGTGTGAGATTTGCAAATAATCAATAGACCTCAATCTTTAAAAAAAAAAAAAAGCAAAAACAACAAAGAAACCAAAATTACTAAATACTGTGAGACTTGGTAATATTTTGCCCTGTTTATTCTTTCTTGTTTTTTTCCTGAGTGAGCTCTTCTTAAGAAGCTCTTCTTGACTATTTTATATAGTCTCTAGCTCTCTCCTACCATTTTCTTCTTTTTGTTTCCTTTTTCTCTATGTTCTCCCTTTATCTCTTCAATTTTCATCACTAGCTTTGTTTACCTTTTGTCACTGACCTCTCATCTCTACTTTTTCCTCCTTTATGCATCCATAGTTGTTTGAGTAAAATAACTATAAAATGTTACTGTCTGCAAGGTCAGGAATTAACCTGGGAGACCAGGACAGGTTTTTTTCCACATTTGAATAAGACTTTACTTGTTCCAAAACAAGTATCAGAAATCAGCATAATATAAATTTACTAACAACAAAAGAACCTTGGAACAATGTTTTAATTTGTATATGCAGAAAGAAATCAGTCAACCAAGTGTTCATGGTTATCAATTACTTTAATTGACATCAGTCGTGCTAACATTAAAAAAAAAACCCTGTTTTAAGTTACTTTGCCTACTGACTGGGTCATAGAATCTGTAAGAACTAAGGCTTTGTATTGATCTATTAAGATTAGGAGAAATATACAGTGTAATAGCACTAGATATGCTGAGTTGGTGATATATTCCTGTTATCTCTGAAAACTTTTACATTCAGATTCCATGAAGGAATGCTCTTTAAATATTACCTACTTTTTGTCTGGTATACTACATTTTAAAGATTTAATGTAAACAAAGCCCTATTTCACTTAAGCCTTCAATTGTGACCTGGCAGCTTAAGAAGAAAACAAGCAAAGCCATGTACTCAGAGTGATCTTTCCTGTTTTTCAGCTTCTTTTTTCTCCCAACACAAAAAGAATTGAGTGGGTAGAATTTAAAAATGACATATGCACAATGTTTTTGGCTTTAATACCAGTATTCAAAACAAGAGTCTGGTTTAAGAGGTTTGACATTGGTATTTCTTTGTTCAGTGGAGCTGTACCTCCCTGAGTTTTTTGCACCTGATTTTGACCATACTTAAAGGCCCTCAGATTGAACTGCTAATCCTAATAAACATGGACAGATTGTTAGCTTCCCTTCTCATTGTGTTACATCTCTCAGCAGTTACTTGGCAATTAGTAGCTCTAAATTGCCAAAAACAAAAACAAAAAAACAAACAGAAAAAGCAAAGGGCTTGGCATTACTCTATAGCTTTGTCTTTATTACAGTTCTAGAATATGACTACACTGCTTTTTCACTGTTCCTGAAGCTGCTGTCAATAGATAAGCTTTGCCCACTGCTCCCACTCAACACAGTTCATATCTTGAATTAAGATGATTCAGACACTCCAAGGATCCCCTCCTTCTCCTTTTTCTTATTTCTCTCAAGATTTATGTCTTTCCCAGCATATTTCCAAGACTGAAATGAGCAGAGCCAGAATGGATGGAAGGGACACACTTTTTTCAGTGGTAACCTCAAGAGCAGTGCACAGACACTAGACACTTCTCTCAGTTATGTTGTAATGACATCAAAGCCACCAGAATAATAAAGCCTGGCATGGTTTTTCCTGGTGCTGTTAGAGTTCAGTATTATATTACAATTGTGGTTAAAACCCAAGCATAGAAAGGGCAGATTCCATTAAATACGGCACCCTAAAGGGAGCAGTCTAAAATGTTTTAGATATAACAGAATTTCCTAACAGACTATTTATTGTTTAAACAAAAAAAAATAAGATTTAATTTAAAGGTAATTTGCTTAGTTTCATCTCATGCTTTTCTGGATTTAGATCTGACATTTTTAGGAGGTGACATATATCCTATATTTTGCCTAATTAAATTAAATTTTAAAATAAAAATTGAAGCAAATGCTGTTTCAGATATAAACCTATGAAAAATTATGTATGTGTTTAAAAACATTTTAATAAAATTATATCATTGGTGAACATTTGATTTTTTTTTTTTCTTTAAAATGTAGTCCCAAATAATGTTCAAGGTTGTGGATGCTCATGGGAATAAAAATTGAATTAGTTTGGTCCAATAATGAAATGACACTGGTTATTATTTAAGTGCCAAAAGGTGGTTGGTAATAGTGATCTGCACTGTCACCTGGAGACCCCTATGTCTGACACTTATTTCTGGTTTCTAACTCTCTAGGTTGACAGGAGCTGGGAATTCTTTGGTGCTAGCATGCTTAGCCCTTAGATGGAGGAAGCGTGGTAGCAATCCCTGCAATTGATTTAAGAAGTGACACTAATGAACTCTGAAGGGGTGCTATTATAACTGTGCAATAAGATGTGCATGTGGTGAGGGAAGGGAAGCATTCTGTGGGCTCCTTACTCCACATGCATGCACTTTCTGTCCAGGAAAATAAAATAAAAGACAGTTCTACAAAAATAGCAGAATTAATAGGGGGAGTGAAATCATACTGATACTTTAAATTAAATAGGTGATTCTTCGTGTTTGAATTAACAAAGCAAATGCTGTCCCTTGAAATTTTTATTGGTGCCAAAGTTTAAATAGAAGACTAATTGATAAAAGCAGAGTCCTTAATATCAATGGCCTAATGGTATATTGTATCGAGGCACTTAAATCCTGTCCCTTTTTTAATGGTTTGGAAATATTTGTCTACGTGAGAAGGGCATTCATGTTTTATGGTCTGTAAAATGGATTGGATCATGTAAAACATAAGATGATGTAAACAACATTCTCTCCATACTTATAACTTCATATGACCTTCCAACTTTTTAACTGCCACCTTACTTAATATTCTTGTGGGTTAGCTTTTGTTTCCCATTCCACTTTCCAGAAATGCCAAATGCAAGGTGCCACACCAGTGTTGTATAGTTTTCAGTCATATGCTGTTTGCCCATTATGGTTTTTTGCCCATTTTGTAGTTACAGATAAATGTTTGGCAAGTTCAGAGATCTTGCTGAAACACCTGCTAATATGAATAATACAGACTGTAGGCTAAATCAATTAAATTCTAACTTTCAAGTTGTCATTAGTTATAAAATCTAAAAATATTCGAGAAAAAAAAAAGTGAATTATTGTTCCTGAAATTATTTTTATTGTAAAATATAACTCCAGTTAGGTTAACATTTCTTTAACTGTGTTATGAAGTAGTCAAACATACTTTTTCATGACCATATTTTGTAAACTATTGTATATTCTTGGGCAAGCTCCGTGAGTGAGAAAACTTACATCAAATAAATATATTGGGCTATTTCAATTTTCAGATGAAAAATATATAAAACACACAAAAATGAAAACAAGGCAAACATCTGTAATGCATTTGGTAACCACCATGCTGAACATGTTTTTTGAGTTTATTAGCTCAGTAAGGAGTAAGCTGTTATGGTAATTTCTGGAGAGAAGTTAAAATGTGTTATGTATTAATAACAAACAATAGATTTGTTCATTCAGCATGGGTGGGCTATATTAAAAGAATAATTAAAGCACAATTTTGTAGAGATTTGAAGTATAGCTTTACATGGTATTGCTATTGGTAAAGTAAACATTAATGGTCATTTATTTAAAGGCAATAATTACTCTAATGACTAAATCTTTTTACTGATGGCAGCAGTGAAAGTTTGCTTGTCAAAGACTGCATTTTTGTGGCCATGGTCAGTAAGAGAGTTTTAAACGTGTATGCAGTCTTTAGATCTGGAAAAGGTTGTGAATTGCAGCCCAGAAGTTAGATCTGTATAGCTGGACCCCTTGCCTTGATGCAGATTGCTGTTGAGGGCCCATCAACAGGGGTCTGATTGCAGAGCCAGGATTTTGGATTCCAATCCATTTAAAGTCTCCTTGTAAAATGCTAAAATATTTAGGCATTTCAGTTATATGGCTGTACCATGGCCAAACTTGAATTGTGAAAATGGATATTGCAATTGATCTGTTCAGTGATCTCTATTTCCGAGGAAGAGTGCACCTAGTGTAAGTAGCAAACATGTTACTGACTATGTTTTGTCATTTTCCTCTTTGAGGATCCACCTACTTCAGTTTCACTTGGACTTCGGATGGAAGAGATGATTTTTAATTTGGCAGACACACATCTATTCTTTAATGATTTAGAAGTAAGTACTAATTATTTTATGTACTGGTATCAGTTATTTAATATTCTGTTTTATATAACATAATTCCAAATGATTAAGGACCTACCAAATTCATGGTGGAAGTAGAGTGCATGACGGCTCCTTTAATCTTGCATGTTTCCCCATACGCATCTCACCCCTTCCCTCCTTTCCCCCCCTCCCCTGCTGCTGATCAGCGGATGACCCCACTCCCTCCTGATCAACAGGGAAGCTAAAACTGCAGTTTTAAACATGACACCATTTTTGCCTCCCCGCCCGTCAGCAGCAAACAGTAGGGCCATCTGGGACGCCTTAGTCAATCAGTTGCATGAGGCAAAAATGGCGCCATATTTCAAACCAGTTTTTGCCTCCCCACTGGTCAAAAGTGAGCTGCAAGTGAGCTGCTCTCCACCAATCAGCCAAGGGGAGGGAGAGGGCACAGGGGAACCTGCAAGATTAAAGGATCCACAGCACACCCCACTTCCACCATGAATTCAGTAGGTCCCTACAAATGATATGATTTAACAACTTTAAAATGCAAATGTTAAAACATATAGATTTTTTCCCAAGTTTTTTGGTATGCAGAAATACAATAGTATGCTGATTTAAAGTCTTTTTTTTGTCACCGTAGATATATTTTATATTATTCAGATATTGTTTTATAATCACAATAGAAGCCTGTAGAAGTGGGTGCAGCATTTATAAACATTAGAATTCAATAGTCTGTATAAGCCATTAAATATTAAACTTTAGCCTCTATAAACAGTTAATAGCTGGGTACAGATTTCTCAGTTACATCCCACTGTGGGGACATATTACCTTAAAACCCAAAGGAAATCATTAATGTTGCATATGCTGTCGGCCTCTGTGGCTTATTACATTGGGTCTTCTGCCTTCCCCAATAGCAGGTACAATTTGTTATGTACTAAGGTTTCTTTGTTAATCTTGCCTCTCTTGTGTAGCATGCAGCAAATAGTCAGTGTCAGCATGCCAAGGACTTACTCAGTCTTTCTAGACTGTGGTTTTGGGGCTTCTTGTGAGACCATTCTAAGAACTCTGTGGATCGCTGAAAGCGACTGTCACCATGATGCTTCGTTGTTTCATCTTAAAATGGATAAAAGCAATTTCTGTTCATATTTTCATAACAAGAAAACATGCAAATAGTCACATTTCTTTCCCATCGTAATAAAGACAGCTGTTTATTTAAAATCCAACTGTTAAACAAGCTTGTGGTGGGACTGCCAACAGGCATTAATCATCAAGTTGTTGTTTTGCTGGATTTCAGAAAAGTGTGTTATTCCAGACAAGCAAAAGAATCTAAAAGATTCAAATGCAACTTTTGCTGATCAAAGTTAATTGGCAGCAATTGGCCTTTAAATATTTCCTGATGTTTCCCTTTTCAAAATCAAGGAAAATACACCTTATTTAATAGATGAGCCAAAATCATTTGAAAAATGCCAGTGTGTGACAGACTTTAAATGTGGTTTGTCCAACATCTGTCCCATATTTTGATTTCTTTTCATCTGCAAAGAAACTACTCACAGATGAATTGGCAACTTACAGTGTAATAAAATTATTTAAATGTGCTTTATTTTTTCCATTCCTTGGCAAAGTATTTATTTTTACACTTATAATAAAATGCAATATTTCTTGCATCAAAAAGTGTTTTCTTTCATTAAGGAAACTGCAAATAAAGATGTTATTGTTTTTGATGCAAAAATGTCAGTAGTGAATGACATGTGTAGGCTTGATTTTCAGACTTTTAGAAGACCATAACAAGGCTACTTATTTTCCAAATCTGTTTTTGTTTTATGGTAAGATTTCATTTTGTCCAGACCAGTAAGAAAAAAATAGCTCTAAGACGTACTACTATGTTCACTAAATTCTATACTGCATTTTCATTCCTTTGCACAGTCAGATATATAAGAGTGTAATAGCCATCCCTTCAGACATGAATATAACTGTAATTGAAGTTAATGAGAGTTAATCACATATATAATGGTGATAATACAGCATTATCTGTTAATTGTCATGTTACCTTAATATTAGAGCATAGCATTATTTTAATAGGGTTGTGTCACACATTTAACTTAGCACTTACTAAGTACAGCTTAAACACAAGCAGACGCACAATCAAGCCATTTAGCACATGTTAGTGCCCTCCTGATGTTGCAGTGTTGTTCCCTTTCAGGTAAGGGTCACCTCCCAGTACATACTAACTTTAGTAGGTCACTACATTCCAATGATTTTCAACTTTAGCAAGTGAACATGTGACAAAGCTGTTATTCATTCAAAAACGTTGAAGCAGAATGTGTGTGTGTGGAAAAAAAATACTTACTGACCCACATTCTTCGTTGAAGCCACAGAGCTGACTTGGCCATGTTTACACTCCCATAATACTGGGCCACTTGTCAGATATTCCCAGCATCAAGCATAGCAGCCCAGACACTGAAGGGGAATATAATGAACTGCTCATTTGGTAACATGTAGGTGTTTATGGCCAAGTTCCACCCTGTAATATGCATGCAGACTGAAAAAAGAGAGTGCAGTAGGTCATCAGCTTTTTTTCCCCTCCCCCTCCATCTTGCCTACATGGGAGCAAGATAGGATAGTTCCCTGGTACCCAGATGTCAGTTAGGGTCCCTAACATCGCTATAATGGGAATAAATAAGGCATTCCAGAGGGCACCAGTTGTGAGAGCTGGGAAAGGAAGTGTCTACAACACCCAAAGGTCCATAGGCAATATTGCCATAGATATGCATTTACATGGAGAATAGCTTGTGTTATAGTTACAGTCGTTATTTGAGTTGAGACTCATTGCCTGAGAAATGTAGCATTAATTCTCAGGTTTTTGCATCCAAAATGTTTAATAGGTTGATTTAATTTAGATTTGGTTGAATGCTCATTGTCGCTGAAACTACAAAAGTGTGTCATTTCAGGCAATGTGTACTATATAACACTAGAGAAGGCAGGCAAGACTAAGCTGGGAAATAGTTTAGCTTTTGTTTTTGTTGCTCTATAGTTTATTTTAATACCCTATTGGCATATATAAGTCCTCTTTCTTTTGTTCACCCATTTTGTAATGTATTTTGCTCTCTTCTTTAAGCTTTCCTGAGGCTCCTTCAGGGAAGGATGGCATACAAATCTAATTTCCCCAATCTTGTTCTTTTTTAGCTGTTACAAATCAGTTGTTTTGAACTCATCTGATCATCTTGGTTTTTCAGAGGTGAAAATTTCCATCCTGCCCAAGTACAATTTAACGTTTCAAAAGTCAGTGTTGCTGTGTTTGTGGATTTTGGATAAAGAACCAGACCTAGACGTATAGTCAACATTAAATTTGAAGTAGTGCCGTTGTCTCATGGATTGCTAAATCCCATAATAAAGGGTATAGTAAGGATGTTTTGTTTTGGTTTTGTTGCATCTATTAAAACCATGAAACTAAAATAAGATATAGTTGTAAGTCTTGAAGGACTTTTCTTAAATTCTTGTATGGTATGATAAATGTAACTGACAAGCATTTTAACATATTGAAACGGGAGTATAAACATTTATGAATGTGTAATTCAATTTAAGTGCTTACAGAAGAAATGACAGAAGTTTATTGGGTAAAATGTTGTTTCATTTAATTAGATTATGAAACTATTACATACATGCATCAAACAGAGCAGTAATTATAGACAGTACTTTCAAATTTAGTAGCCTCAGGTTGAAAATAAGTGGCCTAAATAAGTGGCTTCAGTTGAAAAGCCTTGTATATCCAGTGGGTGTTTTTGTGCCTAAATATAAATTTAAAAATCTAACATTAGGCATCCACAGCTGAAATTATTGCCTTAACTCTGCCATATTCTCTTCTTTAAAAGTCTTCCTACTCCTAATTACATGCTTGAAGGAATAAATGTATTTGTGTAATGCTCTCAAGAGAACCAATATTATATAATCAGGAAAGAATGATGCAGTAATACCTGATTTCACACAAATTAGCAATGCTTTCTGATAGGTGGCAAAAAGTATAATGTTTTAATACTAGTTACATGCACGTGAGCATTTTAGAATCTATGCTACTATGTTTTAAGGGAATTATCAACTTGATGGTTACTGTAAAATGTGACGTTGCATTGTTAGCATTTGTTCTACTGATCCTCTTTAAAATTAGTTCCTTCATTTTTTGGCAAATTAGATTAACTATACAGCCAGGTACATTATGACCTTGATAATTCAAACAGTAATTTCTAATCAAGTTGAGAAGGCATTAAAGAAAAATAATGACTTATCCATTCCTTTATCTTAAAAACATACCTATAAGTTGATAAACTGAAGCTGTTGGTCTGTTAATTCACTAGGCTTTTGATGAATAGCTTTCTTTAGATGATCATCTGTCCTACCTTTATTAAATTTTGCCGAACAATTTTATTTTATGAAAAGAAAACTTTGCTTTTTAAGGGAAATGAAAAAAAAAGTTCATTCTGTAGTTCAGGCCCTTGAGGATCTTTTCTATCTGCTTCAGCTTTTATTGTTTTCTGTTTAATTTTGGTTTTGGATTTTACTTTTAAAAAAACATGTCTATCCTTTTTTCTTCATTATTAATAGCTTAATTTTGATATATCAAAGAAAGGGAATGATTATACATAAGGACACAATAGTGACTGTTAATCTGATTTCTTCCACCAGTGAAAGACATACAATCTTTACTAAGAGCTTCATAATTCACTTCTGTTTGTAAGTCTAAAGTATGTCCTGTATATTATTTTACAAAACTGTCTCCATATGCAATGGGATGTATATGGAAGTCATTTATTATGAATGGCAATATGGAATGAGTTTTTCGGCTACTTTAGCTAAGGCATTTCTCTTGCTGACAGAGAGAAGAAAGAATGCTATCAGTCATTTCTGTAAAGCAACAGCCTGGGTCCTCCAAAAAGGTGGAGGGAAATAAGTTTGATGTTATGTCTTCACAATACCACTTCTGATTTTAGCCACATTTTTACATTGGCTGTTGATACAGG